CTGATCAATCGTTCGATCCGAATCAGTCAATCAGTTAATCAATCCTTTTGGGATCAATCAATTACTTAACCCTTCTTTATCCATGAACCATTTACTTCCTTTCATTCAATTAATTCCGTTCAACCGATTCTTTTCCACCAACCAATTGATTAATCCAAATCAATCTTTCCAACTAAACAATTTATCCGTCAATCAACCAACGAATGAATGAATCAATGAATCAATCAATCAATCAATCAATCAATCAATCAATCCAAAGCTTCAAACATTGAATACATACAAGTTAAACCATGCTTATGATTTGTGTGTGTGTGTGTGTGTGTGTGTCAAGTTTACATGGAACCAGCAAGAGCATCACGAAATTGTTTCCTAACCGTTACTTATTATTCCCCCACCTCAGCTCTCCTTCACCCTCAACCATCCAGCCGGCAACTCCTTTCGTCGCCCGGCACCCCCGTCATTACTGATGACGTCAACGCCCCAGCACAACAACGTCAACAACAGCCACCACCATCATCACAACCTTTCCTCTTCATGTTCCTCTCGACTTAACTGGATGAAAGCCCTCCGCCTGGTGAAGTCCTTGAAGGATCCCTGGGAGAAGTTCCACATCACCGACCACAAGAGCGAGTTCGCCACTCGCCATCGCTACCACGCCCTCCGCAAACAGTGGGTCACTGATGTCGTGGAGGTCAAGATGGAGGATGAGGTCAGTAGTGCGTGGGGGCTGGGGTCAAGTTGGTGTTTATTGGGGATTAATTGAGAAGATTTGATACGAAAATCAGTCGGTTTGATGTTACTATAATTGCTTCAATAATCTGATTAATCTAATTGATTAATATTAATTAATCAAATTAATTAATTAATGTAACTTAATTATCTTATTCTGATTAATTTAAAAATTGCAGCCGTTCGATCAGGGCGCCATGAGATGCTGCTACAGGATGTTAGTGTCGCCGTCGTTGTCGTTACTCATGATGTCGGAATGCTTTGTTGTCGTTGTTGTTGTTGTTGTCGTTACTGCTGCTGCTGCTATTGTTGTTGAAGCAATCCATCAAACAAAAAACGAGCCAACCAACAAACAAACCAGCAAACAAGCAAACAAACCAATAAACAAACAAACAAACCAGCAAACAAACAAGCAAACAAACAAACCAGCAAACAAACAAGCAAACAAACAAACCAGCAAACAAACAAGCAAACAAACAAACCAGCAAACAAACAAACAAACAAACAAACAAACCAGCAAACAAACCAGCATGCAAACAAACAAACAGTAAGAAGATGCCAACATTCGGCAAGCACAAGGACTGGAAGCACGCCCACAACTATGTGGCCAAGTCTTACATCGCCAAGCAGGTTAGCAGAGAGGTTTACTTCAGTGACGTCCGTCTCCAGATGGATGCCAAGTTGTGGGGCGAGGAGTATAACAGGCACAATCCACCCAAGAAGGTCGGTTGGCTGGCTGGTCGGTCGGTCAATTAGTCGGTCAGTCGGTCGGTCGGTCAATCGGTCGGTCGGTCAATCGGTCGGTCGGTCAATAAGTCGGTCAATCTTTTTTGGTGTGTGTGTGTGTGTGTGTCGTCTTGGTATGTGTTTTGTCTTGGCGTATGTGTTTTTATGTAATAATTAGACATCAATCAATCAACCAATCAATCAATCAACCAATCAATCAATCAATCAATAAATCAACCAATCAATCAACCAACCAATCAATCCAGGTTGATATCGTACAGATGTGTGTACTGGAGTTTAACAACAGACCGGCCGGTCAGCAGTTTTATCATCTGGAGCATTTCATTGAAGGTTTGCTGGTTTGTTTTGTGTGGGTGTGTATTGTTTGTTTGTTTGTGTGAGTGTGTTTGTTTTGTGTGTGTGTGTGTATTGTTTGTTTGTTTGTGTGTGTTGTTTGTTTTTTTTTACAGTTGTATGTGTGAGTGTGTGAATGTTTTGTTTCTGTGTTTGTGTGTATGTGTGTGTGTTTGTATGTAGGCTATATTTAGATCTGTGTGCTCACATTTTCACGTCACATCATCATCATCGTCATCGTCACATGACGTCATCCCATCACATCAGGCCATTATACCAAGTACAATTCAAACTCCGGATTTGTGGAGGAGAGTCTGAGGATGACTCCGCAGGTTTGTGGCTGAATGAATGAATGAATGATTGAATGAATGAATGGATGGATGGATGGATGAATGCATGAATGAATGAATGAATAAACGTATGAATGCATGGATAGATGAATGAATAAATGGAGAAATGAATGTATGAGTGAATTAATGAATGGATGAATGAATGAATGAATGCATGCATGCATGAATGAGTGAATGAAAGATTACACATGGAATACATCGTCGCGTTCGACGAATTGTGTCATTGATGAGCCCTTTGATGCGAGAACAAGCCTATTCTTGATGAACATCGACGACCGCAGGATCCGCAAACCCACACCCACCCCTGTGCTGTTACCATCCCGGGCCACCTGCTTACGCCGTCCTCTTTTTCCAACTAGAGCTGCAATGCGCGCCTCCTCAAAGGCGGAAACTGCCGCTTGTGAACGTGTCTTCCACTGTGAACGCACGAGCGCAACGACACTCAAGGTTTTAGAATCCAGTCCGACTTTTTTTAGGTTTTCCTTCAGATTATCTTTAAATCTGCGAACTGGACAGCTTGCAAGGCGAACTCCAGAAGCCAGCTGTCCGAAAAACACCTGTTTGGGAATTCTTGTGTCCGGCATGCGGATAACGTGTCCCGCCCAACGAAACTGTGCCTGTAACAAAAATGCCTCGATACCCAAGATACCACACATTTCCAATACAGTCGTATTTGGCACCCTATCCTTCATTTTACGTTAGCCATAACCCGTAGACATCTCATATGAAACTGATCGAGTCTACGTATATAGCGCCTATAAGTAATCCATGTCTCACATCCATACAACATTGTGGTTAACACAACTGCCTTATAGACAGATATTTTATTAGCCAGCGACACACCCCGTTCCTTCCAGAGTCGTCCACTCAAACCACCAAAAGCAGCACCAGCCTTGACAAAGATTACACACACACACACACACACACACACACACACACACACACACACACACACACACACACACGTGTTGTCAATGACTCATTCCTCCATGTGTATATTAGGTTATGGACTTATTGATTTTTTTCGTACTTTCAAATCGAAATTGTTATACTTACGACGACGACGATGATGGTGATGATGATGATGGTGATGATGATACCAAGAGATGGTGATGAGTGTGGTGATTATGACGATGATGGTGATGATGCTATTGAGGATGATGATGCCTTAAAGAAGATGGCGACGACGACGATGCTGATGAGGAAGTTGACGATGGTGAAGATGACGATGATGATGATGAAGATAAAGATGATGATGATGAAGATATGACGACGATGCTGATGATGAAGATGACGATGAAGATGACGATGATGATGAAGATGATATTAACACGGGCTAATTTTTTACTTACATTATGTCGAAATTATTCTCTTTTTTTCTGTTCTATTTATATGACTCCATCATTACCATCGTCGTCATCATCAACATCATCATTCTTGCAACCATCATCATAATCGTCATCGTCGCCACTACCACCACCACCAGGCATTCAGCCACTTCACCTTCGAGAGGTCGGGGCATCAGCTGATCGTAGTGGACATTCAGGGGGTGGGTGACCTCTGGACTGACCCGCAAATCCACTCTATTGATGACATTTATGGAGATGGTAATCTTGGGACTAAAGGTCTGTTGATTGTGATGAGTATGATGATGATGATGATGATGATGGTAGTGGTGATGATGATGGTGATGATAATGAGGATGATGATGGCGGTGAAGTTAGGGTGATTATGAAGGTGATGGTTAGAATAATGTTTATTACGTGACGTCATCAGGAATGGCATTGTTCTTCCACTCTCATAAATGCAACTCCATCTGTGAGTCCCTGGGCCTCTCGAAGTTCGATCTCGCCCCCTCTGAAATCAACCTCAACAATGACGTGTACAATGACGTCATATTGGTTGGTTGTCGTTGTGTTGTTGTTATAACACGTTGGTGTTGTTAGTTGTCTCAGCGACTGAAGCATCGTTGCAGGACTCCGCTTTGTGATATTTTTATAAAGTTCTCGAAATAAGTTTATGAGGTAAAAAAAAACTTGATGGTTCAGTGCAAACTGTGGTACCTAAAAGGTGCCCAGTGGGGCAGTTTAAAATCATTACGTTGATGTTGTTTGTCCCGTTCTTAGGTGTGTTGTTGTTGTTGTTGATGTTGTTGATGTTGCTGTTGTTGTTGCTGTTGTTGATGTCGTTGTTGATGTTGTTGTTGATGTCGTTGTTGTTGACGTCATATGCTATATATCTGATCCTCTTCAGAAGAGGCACGTGACTCCGGCGACACGCGTGCGTGGTGAGGAGGAGCAGTGCGTGGCGGCCTCTCCGATCGACCGCATCGACCTGCATAGCTTCCTTCAGAGGAGCAGGAACATGTCGACCTGCAGTTCCACCGTCATGAGTGCTGACGATGACGTCAGTGATGACGACGGCATCGGCGATGATGATGATGATTCGCCCATGAGGTTGGTCGTGATGGTTGTCGTTTTAGATTGTTCTTATTTGATGATGATTGGCTGAAGTGAATCACGTTTTGAGCAAATTTTTTCAATGTTGGAAAATTTAAGTTTTTTTTTTATGCCAACTCTCTTCCCCTTGCGACCACTTAGCAGCATGTACGGCAGCATCACCCACCAGCACAACTTGCACAACAACAACTTGACCAACCATATCAGCAGTCAGCACATCAACAACGACCCCGGCAACAATGAGGACCACTTCAACTGCGCCAGCCCCATGCTCTTCTCACCTCCCGTGCGCAAACCTCGGCAGAGATTCTATAGTGAATCTGAAGAGTGCATGTCGCTGAGCAGAGCTGAGGTTGGCTGACTGGTTGGCTGGCTGGCTGGTTGGTTGGTTGGTTGGCTGGTTGGTTGGTTGGCTGGTTGGTTGGTTGGCTGGTTGGTTGGCTAGTTGGTTGGCTGGTTGGTTGGTTGGTCAACTGGTTAATTGGTCAACTGTTTAATTGGTCGGTCGGTTGACTGGCTGGCTTCTTTGTTGATTGGTTGTCCTGAGACTAACCAAAATGTTATTTTGATTTCAATTTCAAACTCGCCAAAAATCCACCTCCACCCCCATAATTGCATCCATCAAACCCAGGAGCAGTATCGTCTGCAGTTTGAATTTGACAACCAGGGCAAGGCTCGGCCGGCCTGCGTCGAGCACGAACTCAAACTGAGAAACAAACAGCAAATCAGAAAATTATGCGACTCTGTTCTTGGACAGGTAATGTCAATCTTGCTCGTGATTGGTTTGTTAGATGGGCTATGTTTCTGTTTATTGGTGGTTAGATAGGTAATGCTTGTTTGTAATTGGTTGGTTGGTTAGATAGGTTATACTTGTTTGTAATTGGTTGGTTGGTTGGTTAGATAGGTGATGCTTGTTTGGGATTGGTTGGTTTGGTTGGTTAGATAGGTGATACTTGTTTACGATTGGTTGTTTTGCTCTATAAATAGTTGTTGTTTGCTTGTAGTTGGTTGGTCAGATCAATACTGTTTGATTTGATTTGGTTGAATTATTCATTCATTGAGTGTTATCGTTCACTTATCATTCGTTTATTAATTCATTATTTCGTTCATTCATTCAATTATAAATTCATTCATTTATTCATTCATTCAGTCACTCATTCATTCATCCATCCAACCATCCACAAAGATCCATCACGACCTGGCCAAATACCACGAGATGGGCAGGTTCTGCGAGAAGAAGAGTGAAGTTGGAGAGGTCGATCTGGAGGCTGCTCTCTTCCACGAGAGGTCTTGATGATGATGATGGTGGTGGTGGTGATGACGATGATGGTGTGGTTGTGATGATGGAGAAGATGATGATTTTGATGATGAGGGTGTTTGGTTGATGATGGTGTGATGACGATTACGATGATTTAACACTACAAACACCACCACCCTCACCACCACCCTCACCATAGGTACGCAGCGGACCTCGGGGTGAAGGAGGCCATGTTGATCCTGGCCAGCATCTACCTGGACATGCCCAGGGAGCTTCTGATTGGTATCGATGTTGAGGTAGGTGGTTAGTTGGTCACTTGGTCAGTTGGATGATTGGTTGGTTGGTTGGTCGTTTGGATTATTGGTTGGTCGGTTGGTTGGTTTGATAATTGGTTGGTCGGTTGGTGAGTTTGTTGGTCGGTTGGTCAGTTGGTTGGTTAGCTAATGAGTGGGTTGGTTGGTTGGTTGATCAAGTGATTGGCTGAATATATGACACATATATCTATTTATTTATTTATAAATTAAAAAAACTCCTTTTAAGCAACATTTAAACACCATCCAAACATCATTCCAACATACCCAGCGATAACATTATTAGTATTCATACTAGTATATCAATCTTTCAATCAATCAGTCATTCAATCGATCAATCAATTAATCAACTTATCATTCAATGGCGAATCTATAAATCAATGCCTCATTCAACCTATCAGTTCATTCATTCATCTACCAATCAAACTACCATTCGATCTATCATTTCATGAATTCATTCATCCATCCATCCATCTATCTATCCATCCATCCATCCATTTACTAATCTCAACCCCCTTTTCATTAGAAAACGGAGGAGAACCAGAGGAAGGGTATGGAGTACATGGTGAGGGCAGCCGAGGCGGGTGACAGGGGGGCCATGCTGTACGTGGCACATGCCTTCGAGACGGGCGAGATCGTTGGCGAGAAGGGGTCGGTTGGAGTTGTTGGTGTCTTTGCCGGTGTCTTTGTTGTTGTTGCTGCCTTTGTTGGAGTTGTCTTTGATGAAGTTGTTGTGCTGTCTTTGTTGTTGTTGATGTTTTTGTTGTTGTGGTTGTTGGTTTTGATGAAGTTGTTGTGCTGTCTTTGTTGTTGCTGCTATCTTTGTTGTTGTCTTTGTTGTCTTTGATGAAGTTGTTGTTGTTGTAATGTCGGCACGTATAAGCAGTCAAAACACACGCATACGCACTTACACGCATGCCGGCCATACAGACGCTCTCTAAAGAAAGCAGTGGATTGGTACGAATCAGTGCTGAACATGTCGAACGACGATGAAGTTGGCGAGTACGATGCCACTGGAGACACACCCCCCCACGAAATCATGGCCAGGGTGGCAAAGTTGTACCTGGATGGAGGGGAGGACCTCCCTAAGGACCCTTCCTATGCCGGTTCGTTTGTGTGGGGGGAATGATTTAAAGATTTTTGAGATTTTGTTTGTTACCTATGATGTGTCAGGTACAAACAGTGAACCTGAATTGTCAGAGCGCAATGTTTGACATTGTTCTGGGAATGACTCTATCAGTTAATTATTTAGGGGCGACACCGTTTAAACATTTAAGAACCATTAATCATATCTTAAATATAACTCTCTGATAAACCGGAAGTCAATGAATGACCACAACCACCACAGGCGACTTGTACACACGAGCGGCTGAAAATGCCACACAGGCAATGAAGGGAAGACTGGCCAACAAATA